GCTGCGGATCAATGTTTACAAGTGTTTTTTTTTCCAAGTCCCCTATTAATGAGGGTTAACAAACATTTTTATAGCATTTTTTCCGCGACTCCAACTTCTGTCCAAGAGGCAAAGAACTCCGTGGCTCCACTTTTGTTGGAGAGGCAAAGAACTTTTCCTTATTTTGCGGGATTCCCTAAAAGTAAAGGATATTCTCCGTGATCCGTGGGATTTTCCTAAAAGTGAAGTCGGCGGCGCGTCATGGGCTTTCTCCCGCGTCTTGGTCCACTTTTCGTTGCTTTGGCCCACCACGCGGTTCAACCCATTTACTTGATCGTTATCACCCCGCGGCTGGGCCCATGTGTCGGTCCATTGGATTTATGGTTTTCCGCGGGTCGGATTTATGGCTTGTCGCGGATCGAATGTACGGTTTTTCGCAGGTCGGTTTATGGTTAAGATTAGCGCGGTGAGCTGTTAATGTTAACCGCGGACTGTTAAGGTTAGCGGGGAGCCATTACGGTTTGCTGGGAACCACTGATGTTTCCCGCGGGTTTTCCCATGCTTAACCAATTTTCAGACATTGATTCCTAAGGGGTGGATTTTGACCCCCACAATTATGTTTAAAAACGGGTCGGGTTTTTACAGGGTACTTCGATCGAGGGAAATGACATATCCTATTGTCGTGTGTTGGCTTGATGGGTTGATCATCCTTTTTCCTTAATGATACTTGTTATTTATAGATCTTTCCAACTCGCCTAGTTGTTGCGCGTATCTCGACCCATGTGTGTAGAAGATCCTCCGCATATCTCGCTACTTTTATTGATTTTTCATCGGGTGACGAGCTGGTATGCGCACATGGCATTCTATCATACCTGAGCTTTTCCTAATCTAGGCCCAAAATATAATATTAGGCTTGGATTTTGCTACTGATGTTAGTGTATTTTAGAGCATGATTAAAGGTGATACTGTAAAAATATCTTAAACATTAATCTATTATTATATTTAATAATGTTGTTGAAGAACTGTTTCAACAGTCTTTTTCTATTGATACGGTTCACAAGATAAACTCTTTAAGAATTAATTTTTAATTATTTTTGTTTAGTGATACTCTTAAAGTATCAGGGTTAAAGATGCTCTTAGATGATTTTCGGCTTAGTTTTTGTTCCATTCATTCCGCATTATGCATCATAATTGTATCTTTATCATATTAGACTAGCTAAGAGTTTAGGATTAAGAATTATGCATATTGCAATGTTTTCTCTCTTTTGTTAGGTTATTTTGAGCTAGTAGATGTTGGGGTGATTTTCACCCCAACGAGTTCAATAATCGAAACAGACTAAGTATAATGGGCCGAACCCAAATAAGCAATTAAGAGTCGAGCCCGAAGAAATGAGGACCGAGCCCATAACGAGAAAATGGGTTCGGGTCGGTTTGACAACCAACGCGTTCAATCTGGCACGATGCCAAGGCCAGAACTGACATGCCGACGTGCCGATCCGCGTACCAACGTGACGATGCGAACATGAAACCGACGTGAACATACAAACTGGCATGAAACCAATGTGACGAAGCGATCCAAACCAACGTGAGTGTGGACCGGGTTCATTTCGGTATTATGACTGGAAACCAGTTTGGGTCGGGCATGTAAATAAGTATGGGCCGAGCTTGAACCAAGCCCATGAGCTTTGTTTTTTTATGTGTTGGATCAACAGACATAAAATCCCCTACAAAATACTAGGATTTTCGTTTTTTTCAAACTTGAACTATGCGATTAAATCCGTTTCATACTGGTACTCAAACTCTTTGCCGATACAACCTAAACAAAAATTATTGACTTTTTCATACACGAACTAATTAAAATAGTTTGAATAATACATAGATCTTTTTGCCGTTTGTTGTAGCTGACTCAGATGATGACGTGGATGTATTTTTTTAGAAACAAAATTTTTATAATAACATAATTCATATTTAATATAAAGACATCATTTTACAGTAGCACAAACTAAAAATATTCGTTTTCGTTTTTTTTTCTCTCGACAAAACATTTCTCGATATGCGATTAGAATTTCTAGGGTTTCTTCTTCATCATGTCTCCACAATAGATTCGTACGTAGATCTCTCGTCCTAAAATATTTGTCTTCATCAGGTTCATGCTGAGGTTAGTAATATAAGCGATCCTCTTTTCGATTTCTTCGATATCTCATGGTTTTGATTTTGAATCGTGGTCTAAAATTTTAGTTTCTGAAGGAATAAATGATACTATGAAACGCCGT